TCCCAACACACACATACATTTATCTGTATTTGTTTTGCCTGTCTGCATAAGACTCTTGCCTCTGCCTATGTATGTTTTTTTTTTTTTTAGTAAATGGGTTTCTTCCAAATAATCTGGATCTTGAATGATCTTCATCTTTCAAAAAGGTTCCTTATTGTGTCTCATTCCGTGGGGACAGATGTTGTTTTCCATGACAACATTATAAAAATCCTTTAAACATATTTACTGTAGTGAACACTTGTGTGCTTGCAGTTATTTAACAGTGCAGAACAGAAGACTTCTCCATGGGAGCCTATACTGGAGCCATCTTAATCTGAAAAATAAGTGATGAACTCATGTATTTGTGTGTTTTCTACATAGTCTATTTGCCAGGAAGCCGAGAACTATTTGGGGAGAAATATTGCCTTTCTTTACGGAAATCAGTTTTCAAAATTTGTGTGGCTTGAAGAAATCTACATGCCACTACTTCAATTGGAATTACCAATTTAGGCTGTAGAAATACAGATGGCCATCAGATGGTAGAAACAGGATGCAGAGAAGTTGTTCTTTACTGCCACCTATTGGTCACCTGTTGTTTTGCAAGCCAGTTCTTCTGGATTTCAATAGTTCAGAACAGTGACAAAATCAAAAGAAAGGCAAGAAGAATTGGATTATTGGAATGTTTTACACAATGTGTTAAAGCTCATAGATTGCTTAGCACTTTGTTTATTCTAATTATTCACTCATGGATAGTTTTGTCTCTACCTCTATTTTACTCTTGTTCACATACATACATGCAATGCTTTTTTTCTAAAAAAAAAAAAAAAAAGGTGCCGGAACTCACACACGTCATACAACCCGCCTTGCCTACCCTACAAGGTTTCATCCAAAAAAGGTGCCGGAACTCTGTTCCGGGCGTTCTATGAGAAAAAAAGCCCTGCATACATGTAGATTCAGAGTACCTATCTATTATGTTATCATGTTACTATTATTTGAACTTCCATTTCTTTCAGGGGGAGATGGATGGTAATTTGTGGGAAGTCAGCTTAATTTTACTAAACTATCCAGAAGAAAAATACTTTACTTCTTTAATATTGGTCTTCTTCAAACAACAACTGTTTGTTTGTTGTTACCAACATAATGAGCTCCCTAGGGGCGGTTTGAAGGAGAGAATCAAACCGTGAAAACATATGTAAGTAATGCCAGAAACATTATAATTTGTGCAATAAATATTTATATTTGGTTAAAATCTGGAATGATATAAAATGAATGCTTTCAGAATATGCAGTCATTCTGGGACTGTTTTCCATGAGAACAATATTTAAACAATTTCATTTATAAGTAACTACCTCAACAGAAATGTTTCACAAATCTTTTCTCAACTTGGTCCCTTCTAAATTAGGGTGTTAGCATTACTACAATTTTCAGAATTCTCAGTCAGCAATGCCAGCAACCCTACCAGCTGGGAATTTGGGGAACTGCCGTCAAACACATCTGGGAGGCACAAATTTCAAGACGGCTGACTTAGAGAGCAGTTCTGGCCCGAATACGCAGAATAAAATGAAATGTACTGTGTATTTGGCATTTAACCTATAATTCAGTATATTATAATCTGCTGGCTTCTAGCTGTGACTAATTTTGGAACACAGAGAGATTTAAAGACCCATCCTGCTCTGAAATGCCGCTTAAAAGGCAGATTTAGAGCTTGGTGAGAGCAGCTAATGAAAAATCAGAGGCAATCCGTGGCCATAGGGGATCCCTGGTCAACAAGGGATGGAGAGAAGAATCTACAACAGACAAATGCTCAAACTTTCACTGGACTATTGCAAGATAAAAGAGCCACTCCATTCCCATTTCTCCTCTCTTCTCTTTTCTGTTTTTCATGTTTGCCTTTTGTGTGTGTGTGTTTTAAAAATAAATTGTGGCAGGAAAATTAATGCACAAACTATTTATCAGCTCCAAGGCTAATATATCCCTTTCCTCCATTTCAGGGGTACTTTAAGAGAAATTGTTGGCCTTTGAGTCTAGAGGACTGAAAACAGCTATGGATGCTAAAAGCATACAGTAGAGCTATGATGATATCCCAGGTTGCATGAGTTTATTCTGCAAATGACACAGATAATGCAGAGTATCTCAGCTACAACTGATGCAAATTGCAATATCATTGGATCATTTGTACAACAGTCTGATGATGCTAGCAACGTCACTTGGTCCCTTGTTTCCTACAAATGCTCATGCCTGACACATCATTCAAATGGTCTTGTTTTGCTTTCTCTGACATTGGCAGGCCCTTCCATTACCATTCTGAAGGGCTTCCCAAGAGTAGAACTCCCACCCCATGCATGGTGAGAGGAAACATCAGGATCCTACGGGTTGTTCCTAGAGCTCTTGGATATCATATTTTAGTGTTTAGAAACTTCTGATCTGATTCTTTCCTCAAAAGCTTTCCCCAAAAAGAAATGGAAGAGATGAATATGAAAAACCAAATCGTTGCAAAAACACAAATGTTCTGGGAGTACATGGCAGCCTGTGGCTTGGAGGAATATAAAATTGCATTCTTGTTAAGAAACCTCTTTGGCCACCTGTGACCCTCGGGGTATTTTGTTTTCATTTTCTTTAGCTCCATTGCTGGGACAGAAACACAAGCTGATAGTTAGCTTTTTATTTTCAGTAATGGTTTTCATTTACAATAACAGGGTTAGAATAATCTCTTCCTGTCTCTCCCATTTAGCAAAGTTCTATTACTGAGTATTATCCAGGCTGCAGTCCCATTGCTTCTCACTCACTACAGTAGTGTGAGAGTGTGCATCTTCCATTCTCATTGGTTTTCCATCTCAGCTTCAGCTTTGTGGGTGGCGTTTTCCTTAAGAACATATTGTAAAGCAGATTAGGAACAGAATGCTCCTATGAATATTTTGTATGCATGCATACATTCATGAAATTTATCCACCTCTCAATCTAAATGGATTCTAGGCAGTTCCTTATTATTTATTACAAGCTTTTGTCTTCCTTAACTTCATGTAATAGAAACATACAGACAAAAGATTAAAAAAGTCCACCTCTCAGTAGCTGCCAATCCAGTAAAGATATAGCTATATTTTTCAAGCTTAGTCTGATTTCAGTCTGCTTTGAAAATTCATTACAAAAAGTAAAAGTGGGATCATCTGAAGTTGATTTTGAAGGTTTCCATTTGAGCTGAAACTGTAAGTTCTCATTAGCGAGGAAGTAAGAATCAAATGAATTCAAGCTAGAGCTTTGCTAAAAGTCAGCTAAACATTTTCGATACACTGAACTTTAGATGATTTGAAATTACAGGAAGTCCAGAGAACAGCTCTGAAGGGCAGAGGGAAGATTCATTGCCAAGGTAGCCATCAAATAAATAAGACTTGAGGATAGACTAAGGAAGTGGCTTAGGAAAATCCTTCAGACCGCAGTAGCAGCAATACTCATTCCAGTTCACATGAAGTTGAAAGAGGGAGGAAGGGAAGTACATTCGGGCATGGAAGATTCTGTTTTTCTAGTTATTCTAATCAAAGTAGCTTTAGGTCTGTTACTTTATCTGGTCAACCTTATAGGGCTGAGGTAAATTTTACAAGTCTAGACTAGCATTAGAAGCTGCTTTGGGCAAATGATTGGGGGAAAGGCGTTACAAGACAAGGAAGGAATAATAAATACTACCACTTGCATTTTTACTTTCATTGGAAGATCATTCCTGAATTTTGTGTCTGAAGTGTAATCATAGTGGTTATTGTGTAATTGGAAAAGGAGAGTGCCACTCACTACAGCAAACATTTTTTTTAGACAAAATGGATGTGATGTGTGAGGATAAAGGAAGATAGCTTTTGCCAAGAGAATTCAGTAACCAAAACAGTTCAGGGAAAAGTTAAAATGAACTGTATTTTCTCTGTGTGACATCATCCCCAACAACTAAAAGGCTCAGGAGCCTTACAAAATAGAGATGGATTACTGCCATTTAAGGTAAATGGCACCAAAACTATTTCAAAAGATAACCAGGGAGGGAGGGAGTGGGAAATGCATGCAAGAAAAAAAGCTGCCCATTCTTGTTTGAAAGTGCAACTTCCCTCCCCAGAAGAAGAATGTCTGTAGCCCACTATAAACAGGAAAACTATCACTAAACTAGAGAATGGGACTGTAATGCTAGAGGGGCAGCTTGTGGCTATCACAGTGTAACATCATCCTACTTCTTCTATTATTAGTGGCTTAATATAATAGCATATCTCAATTAAGTCATCTAATCAAATCATAATGAAAGATTTATTTTTAGGGCAGTATTTTGGATTCATTGCCCAAAAGTCACTTTAGAGCACACAGGGACACAATGGTGGAATCTGGAACTCCTTAAAGCAGCCATGCCTTCTACCAGTCCTGATCAAAGAAGAGGTTGCTTTAAATAATTGCAGACAGATGTATGTTTGCAGGCTTAGAGACACTGAAGCAACTTTTTGGAGCTGAGTCTGAATCTTTGCATAGCTGTATTCTGGAGGGGGAAAAAATCCAAGAGGAATAAGAAATTGCAGACAGAACAGGATATTTCCTATTTCTGATGATATAGCTAACATGTAAGAACCCAGCAATGTTTACGGATTCAAAATGCCATGCTCCTTTTTATGTGCATGCAATGTGTGCAGTTGGCATTAAAAAAAAAAAGGCAAAGGGCTTTGATTGCTCAGTTGTTCTCGTCAATTGGAAACTAAGTGGGAGGAATCAATGCTGAGTAACATAAGTTCTGGATTTGACCAAAGGCCTCTTCAACCCAGCATCCTGTTTCCACAACATTCAATCAAATGCCTTTTTAGAAACCTTAGAATAGGCCACAAAGCCAATATCCTTTCCAGTTTTGTCTTCCAGCAATTAAAACTGAGTGGTTTCCTACTTCAGTCTTGGAGGCAGCATGCATTCCTCATGTTGAATCATCACTTATTTTTCACCCTTTAAAGTCATTCAGGTTGGAAGTATAACTTTTACAATAGTAAGAATGATGGCATTAAAGGATCACTTACCTTGGGATCGTTCTGTAAATGAAGCTGGTGCAAAAGACTTCTCCGCCTTCGACTTTTGGCTAAACCATTATGGAAAAAGTGGTAGCCATCCTCTATAAAGGGAAGCTAAATTTAAAAAAAAAATGACATTGAAATCATTAGACTTAATGTTTGGGCTAGCCACATTGAATAAATTGCAGTATATTTTCTATTCATGTAGCTAAACTTGCAGTCATTAAAAGCATCTGACATTACCTAAGATACAAGAAAAGAAGAAATAAAAAAATGTTGGCAAGCTTACATTTACAAAAAAAAAGAATTATGAAAAAGTGAATGTTGTAAATTTACTTTGTATAGTTTATGTATAGTTTAAAATGTAAAATATCTGTAATTCTACAGACGTGCATTATTAGGGCAACAAAGTAGTTTGCACTTATATAAAATAGATAATCATGTGTTAAAGTGGAACTAATTTCTTTGTGACTTCATGGCCATGGCCATATAATTTCTCAGAAATAGTTTGTCATTGCCTTCTTCCAGATTTTTTTTTAAAGCTTTCCAAGTTACCCCACAGTCTTGGAATTTCTGGTATTTTCCTATCCCATTCCTAAATAGGTTAAATCCTATTTAGCTCATTTAGGGATCACCTAAGGTTAGCTTGATATTGTCATGTCCATCTCCATAGTAAATCATTTCATAATTGGCATATTTTGCTCATGATTTAAAAGTAGAAGGGGAAAATAAGAGTAAACAAGGAATAATGGTCCATAAAATTGCACACATTTTAGAGTCATATTAAAGACTAGTCAGACAACTGTTGAAATTATACTGCTATAGTAGGACTTTATATAGCAGTATTCCTCAACACTAGAAGGCACTGATTTGGGGAAAGCTTCTATATAGTCATGTTGGTTTAAATGGCTCTCTGGAGACCAAAAAAGAAATCCTTAGTGAAGAGCAAATGTCTTTGTGTAAACCACAAGAAGGTCACATCTACCACGTCATCATTCCATCATGAATTATCCTCTAGATGGCATCATTTGTGTCATCTGTATAACAATCTTACAATGCATGTGATGTCATTTGGCTTTCTTCATCCACTGTGAGACACACATGTAGACAGGTGACTCTTTTCTAGCCCAACATTTTCTATCCATTTCTGTCCATCTAGTAGCTCTGCTTCCAGAATGCCATGTTGGAGGGCTGAGGTGCATTCCTGCCATGCAAGCATTACCATGAACCAGCTGAACATCTGGACTTATTCAGGAATGGCACATGTTAGATCATTATCCATGGATAGTAAGACTTCTTATTGTATTACTGTTACTTGTAAGATCAGTCTATTAGTTAGCGACTTCTGCTACTTTCTATAATTGAACTTGAAATTGCTGCTACTAAGTGGAACCCTTGGACAATCATTTCAGCCATGAGCTGCCAATATAGATGGATGCTTCCTTACTGGTTGCTTTGGAAAAGGGCACCAGGAATGGGTGAAATAAATCTGTATCACTTCTATTTCTCCCACCCAGTGACTTGTTTAAAAGATATTTTGTACAGGGAGACAGAGAGGAGAGAGGATCTAGGCTGATAAATTTGGGAAGCTACTACATTAGAAAAATAAATCAATGAATTTTTCTTGAGAAACTGCAGCAGAGAAAATCAGCACAAAATAACAGAATAAGAATGAGGTTTGGTAGATTGTATAAGGATGGGGAGGGAGGGGAATAGAGAAATAGATGAATTATAGCTTTTTATGACTAAATGATAAAATAACTGTGTTGAAAAGCACTGGCCTCCTAAAAGAAAAGAATAGGGATGAGATTATGTGAGGCATGAGAAAGTGAACAAATAGGAGAAATCCAGGGGTGGCAGTTTGGCCAACAAAAGCTAAGTATCTTCGTATATTAAACAGTGGTGTTTACATTCTTATCCTGGTGTTCGGATTCATTTGTTATTTGTACATTTGTTATGTGTGTGTGTGTGTGTGTGTGTGTGTGTGTGTGTGTGTGTATATGAATTTTCATATATATATATATGTGTGTGTGTGTGTGTGTGTGTGTATATACACACACATATATACATACACACACATATATACATATACATACATAATACATACATACATACATACATACATACATACATACATACATACATATGAAAATTCCTCTTTACTCAATGCGGCCCAGGCAAGCAAAAGGTTGGATAACCATGATATAGACTGTAAATGTTATCAGCCCCACAACTTTAGGTAGACCAAACATGTGCAATCCATGGTCAAAGCGGCATGTGGTCCTGGACAACTTGTAATGTAGCCCCACAAGATAATAAATATATAAAAAATAAAGGAATTTGTTATAAAATATGTACTATCAGTAATGGATATAAATATGCAGTCCAAGACAATTCCTCTTCACTCATTGTGGCCCAGGCAAGCCAAAAGGTTGGACAATTATGATATAGACTAAAAATTTGTCGCAGATAAATCTTCCTATACCATTGGTGGTTTATATATTCCTCTACTATGTCTGTTAAAAAGGAATTATATGTGAATCTTGGGAAGTATCATGTTTTACAGCTCCAATAGAGCAAGGTCTGCTTGGCATCCATCTGAATTTTTTTTTTCATTCCACTTATCACACCCAGCAAGATGCATTTGAAAACTGGACCCTCAAGTTATTTCTTACAGTTCCTTCCTGACTGACAAGCATAAGCAGGTACATTACATAATAAAAGGGTAGAGAAATAATCCATCATATTTTCTGTATTGCTGGCACCCTGAAGAAAACTCTCAATATCTTACTGGGAGGCACTAGTTATGTGTATTCTGTCTTGGAATGAAGTCCATGCATCTGATCTACAGGATTTTAGTCTATAAAATTTGATGCCAGCTGCCTCCTCTCATCCTATCTCACCCTCTCTAAACTTTGACTCCCAAAATACCAAGCAGCATGACTTATGAACAAACAGACAAGAATTCACAGGCTAACTTTAGTATAATGGGTTGGGCATATGTTCGAGAAAGTACTTTACTTCAGTTTCCCAGAAGGCAACTAGGATTCTCTCAGTAGATCTGCCTCTATTCAAAAATCTACATTTGGGTATAAACATAGAATAGTGTCATAAGCCCAAATTATCTCCTTCTAAAAGCACCAAACCCAGGTAGGGCATCACTGGAATTTCTACACTTTGGGGAAATAAAGTGTTATTCATGATATTTCTCATAATTACAAATGTATTAATCAGTTATTTTGCTGTGTTAATTGGAAATTTTATTTATTCTTGGAACATACTAGATGTTCAAGTCAATGAAAGGTGACCCTGTAAGATATTCCCCTGAAAAACTATCCGCAGGCAGAAAGTAACTTTGTGTTTAGCCTGTATTTATGTTACATTTGTTTGTCTCTTTATTAATTTGTGTGGCTGCCATCTCAGTTTCATGACTCTGGGCAACTAAGAATTTAAGAACAGAATTAAAACAAAATTAGGTCAGGCTTTGCATTTTTTTGTGGACAAGACAAATGTTTGATGAACAAATCTTTTCTAAGGCTAGTCTCTCTTGACATTTCAAAGAGTAAAAGCTGGATTGTTGGACCCACACTGTTGACGCACATTTTTTAGATAGGCAGACAAGTTTGAGAGAGAAAGCATGTGTATTCTTCCATGAGACTGCTCTGACAGAACAGTTTTGTCTGTGCTGAACACCTTGGTGCATTTTCTTATTCAGAATAATTCAGATCTGCCTGCCTTAGCTGCTCCTCTCCATTTTTATCAGTGTTATTCTGCAATCTTCTTTCAAATCATGACAATAAAAAGGACGGTGACCTACTTGGGCTACCTCTGAATGAAATGCTCCTGATCTTTTTTACACAATGAGAAATGTGGGAAGCAGGGATTAATGTGGTTGTACTGTACTGTATGAAAGGATTAGTTTTAAACAATACATTGGCACATGTCCTTTTTGGTACCTCTGAAAAGCCACAGGGGTCTTTCTAATGTTTCCATTCTTTATCAAGACCCTCCAGTTATCACAACACCAATGCAAGACTGCCTTTGATGTTGTCAGCTATTGTTCTATAACTGGCTGCTTTCTTTATATAATTATCACTCTAGACCAGGGGTCCTCAAACTTGGCCACTTTAACACTTGTAGACTTCAACTCCCAGAATTCTCCAGCCAGCCAGTGGCCATGTTTAAGGATCCCTGGTCTAGACTTTATTTCATGTCATGCTATATGCTATGTCTATATCATAAGAGGAAGAGTGTATCTATATGCCTTAAAAGGATAATACTTCATGTCTCAACTGTAGTCACTCTTATCCAAGAAAGCTTATGCAGTATCTGCAATACAGTTGATGCCCTTTAATATACCAGAAGACTCTATTATTTGTTTCCACAAACTATTATGATGCTGAGTCTCTGAAAACTGTTAAATATCTTGTGATTTAAACTAGAAGTGTTTAAAAATACACTTATGTCTGTTTTTAGCGATGTGTTAAATCCAACAAACAGGCTTAATTAAATAATGTGAACAGGCATATATTTTTTTAAAAAAAAAGGTCAAACAGATCTAAGGCCAGTCAACATACTGCACTGCTTATTAGGCAATTAGCTCTTACTATTGATTTCTGCCTAGCTGGTTAAAATCGAATATGGTTGCATGTGTGTTTAAATTTTCTTTAATTCAGTTTTATTGCACCTTAGGTGTCATTACATTGCAACATTCTACCTTTATGAATACAAAGCCTTGGGGGAAAATTGGGAAGGCACTTAATGTATAGCTTAATCTCTTTATTGTTGTATATAAGTCTCATAAATAAATAAATAAATAAATAAATAAATAAATAAATAAATAATATTATTTTTTAGTTATTTTTCCTTTCTTCGTATGTTGCAAATTGACCAGACTCTCTGGGAGCTGGGCAGTGTACAAATTTAAAAATAAATTGCTCACAGATATGTAGGATAAATGAATACATGGATAAATATCACGGAGTCACATTTAAAAAAATATATTGCCCTGGCAATAGTGTAATATCCCAACTTTTTAAATTATATTAAACTAAACTATACCCAGGTAGACTGCAGCTACTAAGGAATAGTCCACATCAGATTATTAAAGATCA